TATAGACTAGACTATAGACTAGAGACTAGACTAGACTAGACTATAGACTAGACTATAGACTAGACTATAGACTAGACTATAGACTAGACTATAGACTAGACTATAGACTAGACTATAGACTAGACTATAGACTAGACTATAGACTAGACTATAGACTAGACTATAGACTAGACTATAGACTACTAGACTATAGACTAGACTATAGACTAGACTATAGACTAGACTATAGACTAGACTATAGACTAGACTATAGACTAGACTATAGACTAGACTATAGACTAGACTATAGACTAGACTATAGACTAGACTATAGACTAGACTATAGACTAGACTATAGACTAGACTATAGACTAGACTATAGACTAGACTATAGACTAGACTATAGACTAGACTATAGACTAGACTATAGACTAGACTATAGACTAGACTATAGACTAGACTATAGACTAGACTATAGACTAGACTATAGACTAGACTATAGACTAGACTATGACTAGACTAGACTAGACTATAGACTAGACTATAGACTAGACTATAGAGACTATAGACTAGACTATAGACTAGACTATAGACTAGACTATAGACTAGACTATAGACTAGACTATAGACTAGACTATAGACTAGACTATAGACTAGACTATAGACTAGACTATAGACTAGACTATAGACTAGACTATAGACTAGACTATAGACTAGACTATAGACTAGACTATAGACTAGACTATAGACTAGACTATAGACTAGACTATAGACTAGACTATAGACTAGACTATAGACTAGACTATAGACTAGACTATAGACTAGACTATAGACTAGACTATAGACTAGACTATAGACTAGACTAGACTACTAGACTATAGACTATAGACTAAACTATAGACTATAGACAAAATAACGTATTTTCAAAATAACTAATTGTAAACATACTTTTTTCACCCACTGTATGCAAATGAATCGTTTTGTATACCCTTCACCTTCGTAAGAAGTGTATAAACATATAAGTTTGTCATTCCGTTTATATTTGCCACAATATAATTTTCCGTCCCTATACGGTATATATATTCTGGATCCTTACAGATGGCGGAGTCTATTAAGCCATGTCCGTCTGTTGAAATCAATTTTTGAAGACCCTTCTTCGGGATCCAAATCTTCAATAATTCTGTCAGTCATGTTTTCGAGAAGTTTCCTTTTTAAAATCAGCAAAATCTTAATCCCAAAAATTCAAAGTGACACTAAAAAGTCATATTTTTTATACTCACCAAATTGATATATTATAAAATTAATCATTTTCCAAACACACTAAGGTAAAGTATGGTGAAGGGTATATAAGATTCGTCAAAGGCGAATATATACTTCATACTTGTTCACTACAAAGTTTACATCTGGCAAACAACACATGTGTGTACAAAATAAATAAAAAAACAATAAACTAAATAAATATTAAAACAAATATGTTAACAAGTTCATTCATGCTTAAATATAAATTAATCAAGTGTTAAGAACAATACTAATAAAAGAAATTTAAAATAAATTATTAAATAATACAAAACTAAAACTGAGAGAATTCTTTAAATAAAACATATATGATTGCGTGTGGGAATATGAGGGATTTTGAGTCAATACTAAACAATTTCTGACGTTTTCCGCTCATAAATGTTATAAATTATTTTGTGTGTATTTTTTCGAAAATTAAGTGATCAACAATTGTCTGTGGAAGATCCGTCAACTAGAGACTAGATGTTATGTGACACACATGATAAATACGATAATCATACAAACACACATGATCAAGAAATGCGGCTAAACATTCAATTTTAAAAATATAACAACTATTGGTTAAGTATGACTAATGATAGAATAGAGAAGAAGAACTTTATAAAAAATTTCTAGACGAAAAAAAAAATCCAATTTAGTTAAATTTCTTGGTAAATAGTCAAGTATTACATTGAGGTTTCCCTCAATACGTTGTAAAAAAAATATTTAATCACTTAATTTATAGCAATTTAATTAAACGATTTTGTAAATTGTTTTTAATTTGATCACATGCTTAAGGACGTGTGGGCATTCTATAAATAAAACGATGAAAAATCGTGATTTTTATTAGAAATAAATAATAATTAACATAGAAACTGGAACAATGTGGTATGTGGTTAATAAACAATTAATAAGAAAAAATCTATAACAATTCCCCTTTAGCGTAGAATGAGTGTTAAATATTTCAGTTACCCATTTTTGAAAAAATTTGTATTTTGTTAAGAAAATATTTCTATAAAAACTCGTATTATTCAGACCGGATTTTTAATAAATGATTTATGCATTTAATTGCTTTAATAATTTGTGTGAAATTTATCTAAATTTGTTAAGAAATTCATTTTGAGGTGACTTGTTATTATTGTTTTTATATGAAAAATAAATGGTACTTTACAATTTTAGAAAGTAGCATTTTTACGCAGTTATTAATTTGTTAAATTCTACTAAACAAAAAAAAAAAAAAAAAAAAAACTAAGTCAGTTGTAAAGAATTTCAGTGATTACTTGTTCAAAAAATTACATATAATGATGTAATGACTAAAGTTTACATGGACTTTAGACTTGAATTTGGTGTTAATTGTTTATATTAAAAGTTTCAGCTGAAAAATTCTTTAATGATTTCTTTCAAGTGAATTTATAAAGAAAAACCCTATGGAAGATAATTGGTATTAGAGAAATCTAGTGCTTGGAAATTTTTATATCGAGTTGGGTATACAGCCTAAAATTGGATCACCCCTATATAGTTATAAAATTGATTTTGTTTTCTAATATATTTGATATTATTTTCTAATGCCGGCGCTTAGTTTTTGAATCTTTTTAATCAGAAAACATGCATTTAAACTCAATGTGAATTAATTAAATTTTAATAAGCCGTCATATTAAATTGATTTATCAATTCCAATCACGTGTTAATATAAACTTATGAAAAAAACTAAACTTTTACTATTTCAATGTTATCTGATAAAATTCTTTAAGGAAAGTTTTGCAAGGATTTTTTATTTCTATTATATTGAATACAAATTTTGGAAATTGTAACGATGCCAAATTTGTAAACAAGTCTATTAAGTATTATTATTGAAATAATCTAGTAAACTAAGATTTATCTACCGGTCAGACTAATCTATGAAGAAGTGTATTGGATAGTGCATGAACTATCTAAGGACTAGCTTATTGACTAGTCTATGGACCATGGTACAGACTAGTATATGGATTAGTGTAGTGAATAGTCTATGGCCCAGCCTATTACTAACCAACCAACCAACCAACCAACCAACCAACCAACCAACCAACCAACCAACCAACCAACACCAACCAACCAACCAACCAACCAACCAACCAACCAACCAACCAACCAACTAACTAACTAACTAACTAACTAACTAACTAACTAACTAACTAACTAACTAACTAACTAACTAACTAACTAACTAACTAACTAACTAACTAACTAACTAACTAACTAACTAACTAACTAACTAACTAACTAACTAACTAACTAACTAACTAACTAACTAACTAACTAACTAACTAACTAACTAACTAACTAACTAACTACTAACTAACTAACTAACTAACTAACTAACTAACTAACTAACTAACTAACTAACTAACTACTAACTAACTAACTAACTAACTAACTAACTAACTAACTAACTAACTAACTAACTAACTAACTACTAACTAACTAACTAACTAACTAACTAACTAACTAACTATCTAACTAACTAACTAACTAACTAACTAACTAACTAACTAACTAACTAACTAACTAACTAACTAACTAACTAACTAACTAACTAACTAACTCTTAACTGGTCTATGGACTACGGACTAACCTATGTATTATGTACTACCTTATTGACCAGTCTATGTAATAGCCTTTCGATTAGTCTATGGCTTAGCGTACAGACTACTCTATGGACTTCCCTCTTGACTAGCCTGTCGCAGTAGTCTGTTGCCTAGTCTATAGGGTATGAACTAGCCCAATTACTCTTCTGTGCAATAGCCAATTAACTAGTCTATGGCTTAGCCTACAGACTAGTCTATGAATTAGTGACTATTGACTAGTCTTTGGACTAGCCTATAGACTGGTCTATGGAGTAGCCTATTGAATAGTCTATGGTCTAGCCTATTAACTGGCTTACAGACTAGTCTATGGACTAGCGTATTGAATTCTCTACGGACTAGCCTATTGTTAGTTGTGGGCTCTATAAACTTGTTTAGTGACTACCCTATGGACTATCCTATCAACTAGTTAATGGAGTTGCTTATCGATCAGTCTATGGACTAGCCAGTTGACTATTCTATGGACTGGTCTATTCACTAGTTTATTGACAAGCCTATTGGCTATCTAAGGACTAGCCTATTGACTAGTCTATGGAATAGCCTACTGAATAATGTATGGAATAGCCTACTGACTAGCCTATTGACTAGTTTAGTTCATTGACAACTCTATACCTTGGTGTATTAACTAGTCTATAGACTTGCCTCTTGACTAGTCGGTAGACTAGCTTATTACCTAACATATTGACTAGTCCATGAACTAATTTATTGACAAGCTTATGGCCTAATCTATGAACTATTGACTAGACTATGAATTAGTCTACTGACTAGTCTATGACCTATGGACTAAATTTTACTAGCAGAAAAAGAGCTGTAGTCTATTTAGTATTCTAATAATTAAAATCCCTCTAACCTCATTTTATATAATCCTCCCACAGAATGCGTGTGAACTGTTTCTAATCAACTCCACCTACAGCTCAATTTAAAAATCAACAGTAGCAGCAAATATGCAAATTTTTAATAAAAAAAAAAATAAAATTTGCGCAAAAAAAAACTTCCCTTAATTAAAAACAAGCATTTAAAAGTGAGAACATTAAAAACAAATCAAACAGTTCAGTTATAAGATGAATGTATAAAAAGCTAGAGAATTCAAATAAAAATATTAGTAGCAAAACGGCACAACGTACGTACTTAACAATACAAACAACAAAACGAAAAAGAAACGTGTTAACAAACATATAATAGACTGATCACTAGTGTAACCACTACTAAGACATATTCGGCTATTGGCCACTTTATTTGCAGGCCAGACAACGCAAAAGCTTCTTCTTAACTGATGTGAGAAATTTGAAAACAGTTTCGCAATAAACGCGTACATGAAAACAACGAAAAGTTTAAAAACACGGAAGGATTTTTTTTATAAAATCTTAAAATTTAAAAAAAAAAGTGTTAATTAAAAAAAATATTTGTGAAATAAAGAATTTAAATTAAAAAAAAAATTGGTGACTAAATTTATATTTAAAAAAATAAGTTAAACAGAATTTAAAATTTAATTTTTTTATTAGCACTTCTAAGTGCAAAGAAAATAGTTAATAAAAAACTAAATAATATTAGAAAATTAGAAACAAAATTTCAGAAATGAAATTATATATAAGTTTAGCATTAATTGTTGTGGCGTGTATTACAACCCCTGTGTTGCCTCAACGTTGGCAACGACAGCAGCAGCAGCAACAAGGTAAATATTAACAAAATAAACTTAAAACTTGTCGTTACTTAAGTGAAATTATTAAACAAAAAAAACAATAACTAAATAAATAATATGTTATTTGTTTTAAAATTATACACACATGTTTATACTCTTATATATATATTCCTATAATAAAACAATCATTAACTGAATTAAAAAGTTCTATAAGAAAAAAAGTTATAACAAAAATCAGTTAAATTAATTAATTTTTAAAAAAACCGGTTTAGTTTCGTTTGTCTCCATCATTTTAATAAATTATTTATGATCATAAAAAAATTGTTTAACTAATAAAATTGTTTATTGTTATTTTTTTATTGAAATAACAAATTTTTGTGTTGTAATGTCTATTCCTGATTATTAATCCAGTTTTTTGTTTGATTTGAAAAAATTCTTGTGGTTTTCGAAAGCATGTGTCTTAAGTCTTTTGTTTTTATTTGTAATACGAGTGATACAAAATTGTGTGATTTTTTTTAATTTATAGTTAAATTTGAAGAGGTGATTGATATTTGGGGGAATCATAAAGCTAAATTTATCTAAAAGTAATCTATCTATGTCCGTTTTTCTGTCCGTCCGTCTGTCCGTCTGTCCGCCTGTTTCAATACATTTTCTGAAGATCCATGATATTTTTATGATTCAAATCTTCAACAATTCTAAATAAAGCTTGAAGTAGTGTTAATAGTTAGGGGAATTAAAAGCCAAATTTACCTAAAAGTAATCTATATATTCTCCGTTTTTCTGTCCGTCTGTCCGTCCGCCTGTTGAAATAAATTTTCTGAAGATTCAAGATATTTTCATGATCCAAATCTTCAATAATGCTATCAGACATGCTTTATATCTATTGACTAGTATATTGGGAATGTTTTTTACTAGTCTACCGACTAAAAAGTGGACTAGTCTATTGTACTGTACTAATCTTAGGAATGTCTATTGACTAGGCTATTCACTTGTATAGGTTAAGTCTATGGACTTGTCTGTTATCTAATCTTCCAACTACAGACTATGTAGTCTATGATATTTTCTCGATGATTAGTCTATTCTCTAGATCAATAAATATCTATTTATTGACAAATATATAGACTGATCTATTAAACAGTCTATGGCCTAGTTTATTGACAAGTTTTTGATATAATCAACTGAACATCCTATGGACTATTCTGTTGTCTGGTATATTCTCTTTCAGTCCCTCAGTTTGTCTGTCTATCTATCTAGCCCTGTACTTGCCTATTATCTTATCTTTCTATTGACCGGTCTAAGGGGTTTTCTAATGATTAGTTTATAGTCTAGATCAATAAATATCTATTGACAAATATATGAACTCATCTATTAAAAAGTCGATGGACTAGTTCAATGACAAGTTTTTGGTATAATCAATTGAACAATATATGCACTATTCTGTTATCTGGCCTATTTTCCTTCAGTCTGTCAGTTTGTCTGTCTAGCCCTGGACTTCTCTATTATCTAATCTTTGGAGTTTTCTATTGAGCAGTCCATGCAATTTTCTTGATGATCAGTCTATTGTATAGATCAATATTAAATAGTCTATGGACTAGTTTATTGACAAGTCTTTGGAATAATCTACAGAATAATGTATGGAATATTCTGTTATCTGGTCTACTCTCCTTCAGTCCGTTAGTTTGTCTGTATGCCTTGGACTTGCCCATTATCTAATCTTCAGATTTTTTTATTGATTTTCTATGGGATTTTCTAATAATTAGTCTAGTTTATTGACCTATGGACTAGTTTATTGACCAGTCTTTGGTATAATCTACTGAACAATTTATGGACTATTCTGTTATCTGGTCTATTCTCTTTCAGACCCTCAGTTTGTCTGTTTATCTGGCTGCCCGTCTGCTTAAATAAAATCTCCAAAGATCGACCATATTCTGGGAAATAAGGTCAACGTGGGAATAAGGTGAACAATACAAATAGACTATTCTGTTAACTGGTCTATTATCCTTTTGTCCATCAGTTAATCTGTCTACCTATTATCCGTCCGTCTATTTAAATAATAATATTCTTTGAAATAAGGTCAACATGGATGATTTTCTATAACAACCTGAAGTTATAAACTATGAGTCATTAAGAAAATATTCGTGACCCTTTCAAAATGTAGTTCTTATTCGTTTAATCACCTCTATTAAGCGTGTTTTACGTCAATTATTCGTGCCGTTAACACAATAGTTTGTTTTTCGTAAACTATCATAAAATACAAAAATTTAAATTTAAAAAATCTCCATTATTTTCTTATAAAAGTATCAAATTTAAACAAGTAGGAGTTTTCTGTTCAGTTGTAACGAAAAAATCAACATGTGCTATATGTTGTTGTTTTTGTTTTCAGTGGTTAATTTCTTATATATAAAAAATTAACTTCATTAACAACATTTCATATTAAAGCAGAAAGTTATTGTCGTTTTGATGATGATGACAAAAATTCGTATTTTTTGGGAATTTTTTCTAGGGTTGTTTTGGAATTTTGACCACATCTCTAATATTTATGGACAGAGTTTGAATGATTTTAAACAGCAAAGCAAGTCTAATAAAATTTTTGAAAAGTTGAATCTCTTTGATATCAATGATTTTCAGAAAATTGATTTCAACCAAAGTGCATAGAGACAGACAGACAGACAGAAAGACAGACAGAGAGACAGACAGAGAGACAGACAGACGGACGGACGGACGGATATAGTTCACTGTCACCAAGAAATTTTAAGGTCATAACTAATTTATCACTATTTCCTTTTACTTCAAAAGTCGTCAAAGTAGTTAAAGCCCCACAAATGCTTATAAAGTTTTGATGTTTTATTGAAGGAACTTTGTATGGAAAATGTGCTTAATAAACCTAAAATAAACGATTAATATCTTTATGAATACTCGAGTTAATCTTGAGGTTACTTACTTAAGAATATTTTAAATGCTAACTAGGCATTTTTAAATGTTTCAAAGGGATCTATAAACTTTCTTCTTTTTGTCTAGACGTTTTGTTCAAAGGTTTGTGTCTTAAGTCTTTTGTTTTATTCATATGTTTTTTTATATTTTTTAAATATTTTAAAATAAAATTTGCTTTAGGTTTTTTTTCTTCTTAAAACTTATTAAAAAAAACAGCAAACAAACTAGTTTATGAATTTCTTTAAAAATTAATTTTTTTTAAATTTTAATGTCCCACATCTTTAGCAATTAAAAGCGGGTATTTTATTATTGTTTTTGTTATAATTTTTTTGTTTAACATAATTAATGATGTTATGACACATACTAACTAACTAGCATTTTTTTTTTTTTTTGTTATTAATTAATGAGGGTTTTTTGTTTAAAAACAAATTAGCGAATTTATTACAAAAGTGATATAAAAGAGTTGTGTAACAATAAAAGGAGAGGAAGAAATTAAGAGAACATTTGAAGAGAGTTGGAATGTTTTCTAAGGAGACATAATTGTAAGTATTAAATTGTTATAGAAGGGGAGAATAGTAGATAATGAGAATATTTCCACAGACATTTTTAGAAGTGTTTAATTGAAATATTTGTTGTTAATTTTAAAAGGCAAGACAAGTTAATTATTGTTTTAGTTTTTTCTTTTGCTAAAAGGGGAATTACTTCAACAATTGTCAAAATTAAGTATTTAAGTAATTTTTTGTTAATTACTTTATATTTGTTTTTAATTCAGCATAAAATTGTTGCTTAAGTACGTTTTTTCAATAACAAAAAGAAATCATGTTTTTTTGCTTTTGGCCATTCTTAATAAATAAATATTTAATTTAACTGGTTTAAATATTGTTTTTAGGTGAAGGTACTTTAGCTTATTTTATTATTTAACAAGTTTTAATATATAATTTAAGGAACCGGTTTACAAGAAAAATTTGCAATATTTTGCTTTTAAAATTTGAGAGCAAGTCTACAATTAAATTCTTACTCACTCCCTAATATTTTAAAAAATTTCTTATAAATTCTATTTAATTTCTATGTAGTCATTTATTTATACATTTATCACTATTACTTTCTCCTTCTCTGCCTGCAACTGGGTATTTTCTATAAAACGTCATGATCTTGAAATGCGATCACTTTTAATTGATTATAATTCTAATTCGATTTCATTAATATTCTCAACACATAAAATTATGAATTAAAACAAAAATATTGTTTACATTTTCAACGAATGCCGTCGTTTATCAATGATAGTGAATTTTATTTTTGCAACGATGACCATCATAGCGTTTTCAATTAATATGCTTAACGATCTTCATAGATCAATGATCTCAAAGGGGGGAGGGATTAGTTAGTGTACTACATTTGTAGAAATGTTTTCAACAATAAAACAATTAAGAATTCTGTTTATTAATTTGATTAGGGTATTTTAACATAAACAAATTTGAAAAACTAATTGCTTAATAATGAGTTATACAATTACAATTTATGATTAATTTATAATAAAATTTAAACAAATTTAAACAAGATACACTACATCAGTGGGTATGTTAAAAATGTGGGGTATTTTTAATATATAAAGCATTTAGTATGATTTTTACCTTAATTCCGAGATATTTAAACAATTTGAAGGGGACTTTGTATGGAGACTAGGATGATATAAGGCTTGATCATTACGAAAATCTGCATTTTCATTTAGACTTATATAAAACTATGTTTTGCCGATTTAGATAGTAAAATATTTAACATAATTATGAGCTTAAAAGACCTATTAAGGGCATTCGTTTATATGGTAGGGTGTCCCGTGAACCACTTTTTAGAATGAATACCTTTGAATGATGCGTTTCAATAAATACGTTAAAAAATTTAAAGGTTCTCAGTTCCCTAACTAAGATTGAAAGTCTTGATCTCAGTACATTATATTAATATAAATGAAATTCTTAAAAAGGGCTGTTCCTCGGGGGCATTATATGATTAAGTTAGTTAGTTAGTTAGATAGTTAGTTAGTTAGTTATTTAGTTAGTTGCTAGTTTAGTTAGTTAGTTAGTTAGTTAGTTGTTAGTTTAGTTAGTTAGTTAGTTAGTTCGTTTCGTTCGTTAGTTAGTTCGTTCGTTAGTTAGTTAGTTCGTTAGTTAGTTAGTTCGTTCGTTTCGTTAGTTCGCGTTCGTTTCGTTAGTTCGTTTAGTTCAGTTCGTTCTTAGTTGTTTCAGTTCGTTCGTTCGTTCGTTCGTTGTTCGTTAGTTCGTTTCGTTTTAGTTTTCGTTCGTTAGTTCGTTAGTTAGTTCGTTCGGTTTCGTTCGTTAGTTCGTGTTAGTTAGTTCGTTGTTGTTCTTAGTTGTTTCGTTAGTTCGTTCGTTGTTCGTTAGTTACGTTCGTTTTAGTTCGTTAGTTCGTTAGTTCGTTCGTTAGTTAGTTAGTTCGTTTCTTCGTTCGTTCGTTTTTTCGTTCGTTATATGTTCGTTCGTTAGTTAGTTAGGTAGTTCGTTCGTTAGTAGTTCGTTAGTTAGTGTTGTTCGTTAGTTGTTCGTTAGTTCGTTCGTTAGTGTTCGTTCGTTTCGTTCGTTCGTTCGTTCGTTTCGTCGTTCGTTCGTTCGTTCGTTCGTTCGTTCGTTCGTTCGTTCGTTCGTTTGTTCGTTCGTTCGTTCTTTCGTTCGTTCGTTCGTTCGTTCGTTCGTTCGTTCGTTTCGTTCGTTTTCGTTCGTTCGTTTCGTTCGTTCGTTCGTTCGTTCGTTCGTTCGTTCGTTTCGTTCGTTCGTTCGTTTCGTTCGTTCGTTCGTTCGTTTCGTTCGTTCGTTCGTTCGTTCGTTCGTTCGTTCTTCGTTCGTTTTCGTTCGTTCTTTTCGTTCGTTCGTTCTTTCGTTCGTTCGTTCGTTCGTTCGTTCGTTCGTTCGTTCGTTTTCGTTCGTTCGTTCTTCGTTCGTTCGTTCGTTCGTTCGTTCGTTCGTTCTTCGTTCGTTCGTTCGTTCGTTCGTTCGTTCGTTCGTTCGTTCTTCGTTCGTTCGTTCGTTCGTTCGTTCGTTCGTTCGTTCGTTCGTTCGTTCGTTCGTTTCGTTCGTTCGTTCGTTCGTTCGTTCGTTCGTTCGTTCGTTCGTTCGTTCGTTCGTTTTCGTTCGTTCGTTCGTTTCGTTCGTTCGTTCGTTCGTTCGTTCGTTCGTTCGTTCGTTCGTTTTCGTTCGTTCGTTCGTTCTTCGTTCGTTCGTTCGTTCGTTGTTCGTTCGTTCGTTGTTCGTTCGTTCGTTCGTTCGTTCGTTCGTTTTTCGTTCGTTCGTTCTTTCGTTCGTTCTTCGTTCGTTCGTTCGTTCGTTCGTTCGTTCTTCGTTCGTTCGTTCGTTTCGTTCGTTCGTTCGTTCGTTCGTTCGTTCGTTCGTTCGTTCGTTCGTTCGTTCGTTCGTTCGTTCGTTCGTTCGTTCGTTCGTTCGTTGTTCGTTGTTCGTTCGTTCGTTCGTTCGTTCGTTCGTTCGTTCGTTCGTTTGTTCGTTCGTTCGTTCGTTCGTTCGTTCGTTCGTTCGTTCGTTCGTTCGTTCGTTCGTTCGTTCGTTCTTCGTTTCGTTCGTTCGTTTTCGTTCTTCGTTCGTTCGTTTTTTCGTTCGTTCGTTCGTTCGTTCGTTTCGTTCGTTCGTTCGTTTCGTTCGTTTGTTCGTTCCTCGCCCCGTCGTTGTATCTCCTTCGTGGAGTTATGTTGGGCTAAACTAAGGAGAATCATGGTTTCTAAACATTGGACTCAATTGACCCGATAGTGGCATAGGTGCAGTTTTTTTAAATCAGCTATAATAAGTGTACACACTTCTTTCAACCTCACCTCACTTCAAAACAAAAGAGTCATGGAGCTCCTGATGCTCTATTACTACACATTTTATCCTAAATTTTATTTTACAAAAGTTTTCTAGTTTATCCCCACAACTTACTTCCTTCCCTCTTAAGCACACACTTCATTTTGCTCTATTATCTACAATCGAAAACGTGTATAAAATTAGTAATTACAGTTAAGCTTTTTTACAATTATTGAAAGCAAAATTTTAAAACAAATTCATTGTCAAGGTTAGATTTTTAGACGAATCATTATCTCAAACAGCTGACATTAAAATCTTTAAATTGCAGCTTTAAAACATAAATTGTAATAAACAAGTGTAATCTTGTATGCAAATATGTTTTATTTTTGCAGTAACTATTAATACTAAAATTATAAAAAATTAATATTTATAACAGTTACTTTAAATTTAACTTATTTTAATAAGTAATAGTGAAAAAAATACTTGACTAAATACATGTTTTCATTTGAATAAACTACTCATTTAAATTTCTTTAATATTACGGAACACTTTTAACCAATGACCTTGATAAAAAAAGCATGATATAAATTAAATTGAATTTACAAGTGCTTCTTGGATTTCGGATTTTTCTTTTAGTTTAATAAACCAATAAAAATTCAATATATAGTATAAAGCAAGCAACAACACAATTTTTTGCAGGTTTCCATATTAATAAGCAAGGTGTACAGCTTTAAAGCTTAAACTAAAAAAAATGAGTAAAAAAGAGTTTAATATTGAAAAAATTAACTCAATAACAATAAATAATGATAACAGAGAGTTTTAGTAAAGAACTCTTTCTATGTTTGAGTGTAAACTAGTGATATGAAGTAGAGCGAATAAACTTAGTTTGAGAGGGTATTAGTTTAACACTCAGTTGGTTAAAAGACTTAAATACTAAACGTATAATGAGATTGTTGTTGTTATTTAAAGCAAAACAAAGTTTGTTGACAAAAGACTTTAGCAAGAAACTTTGTTTATACTTTTACTGAGCGAGAGAGAGAGTTTTGTTTACTTTTCATATGATTTAAGGAGAGCTAAACTAAAGACTTAAGACAAAAACTTGGTTAAAGCAAAACAAGTATTGTTTGACAAAAAGACTTGAGACACAAACTGTTAACTGTTTTTAGTTAAAAGGTGTAAAAACAAAAGACTTAAGAACTAAACTTTGTTTATATATCTTATCAAAACGAAACGAAATCAATAGGAACGTTTTGTAGAAAAAAAAACTTACGAATGAAGCTTCTGTGATTAAGTTTAACAAATCAAAGTGACTGAATGAGTGATTTTTTCTAAATTTATTTCATGCTGACGTTCAATAACAAAAGACTTAAGAACTAAACATTTTGGCTTCTGGTTAAAAATTTTATTTAAACTTAATCATAACATTTTTCCACTGTATTACTCATATTATAACGTTGTTTAACTTAAAATACGTAAAGACTAAACTCTTTATTTAGAGGGTCATCTTTACAAGGTTTAAAAATATTTTATTTGTTTTGTTTAAGAAATTTTTTGGGGAATTCCATAGAGTTTTTGTGTTGAAAACTATAATGACGTAGTTTTAAAATTATTCTTTGTGAATAATTTATATAAAAAAATTCCCAATTGTTAAAAAATAAGAATTATAAAACAACAATGGAATTTAAATAGTTCAAATTATTAGCGAAATATTTTAAATTTTTAATAACTTAATAGAAAAAAAAAAAACAACTGCTATTACATGATTATATAGAAGGAAAAGTAATTAAAAATATAATAATAAAAATAATGTTTAATTCATTAATTTTAAGGGCTGAGTTCAAACTCATTTATAAGTCAGTAATTAACTTTGATTGTAGGGCTCACAAGCAAAAAAATGTTTGTGAAACAGTCGAATGTTTAGTGGAACTTTCGATCTTCGGAGAAAATTAAAATTTTGTGTTTTAGGAAATCTTTTTAATCTTGATATTTTAAGGAATCTCGTCTATTATCTTAATAAAGCTTCCAAAAAGATTTATCTTATTTTGTTCACTTTCCCATTTTCAGCTCAATATTGTGTTACACCCGAAAATTACTATGGCTCGTGTGTTACTTTAAGTTTTTGTCCACAAATTGCCAATGTTTTCCAGAGTGGTAATCAAAGACAGGCTCAACAATATGTCATACTATCACAAAGAGCCTGTGGCACTAGAAGTGTAAATGGCGATCCAGTTGTAAGTTATTGCAAACCAAAACCAATTCTTTGTTTCTCTAATCTTAAACATAATTTTCTTCCTTTCTAACTCAAGGTCTGCTGCACACGACCCCTAAATGTAGCGCAAACAACAACACGTCCCCCAAGACAAACACAAAATCCCTTCCAGCCACAACCGCCACAGACAACACCCAGTGTTTTCTTCCCCAATACCGAACCACAAACGAATCCTCAAAATCCCTTCTTAAATCCAGCCACAAGAGCTCCCGTACCCGTAGCACCACCCACTAGTGCTCCCACAAGATCACCGCAAACTCAACGTCCCACCACTAATGGTAATTTAATTGATAATAGAGCTTCCACTTGTCGTGGTCCCGATAGCAAAGTCGGTACCTGTATGCCCATTAGAGATTGCAAACCTTTAGTAGAAGAATTGCTAATGAAACAACAAGATCCCACGTTTGCCAGATTTTTGCAAGTATCAAATTCTATATGTGGTGGTGCAGCTACGGCAGTTTGCTGTCCCAGCTCCAACAGCCAAACACAAACTTCGACTAATGCTCCCTTAATAAAGAATTCAAATGAAATTCCTCGTCGTTTGCCCACCGTTGAGGAGGGTTGTGGTTTTAGCAATAATTCCTATAAGAAAATCGTGGGCGGTGAGGTGAGTAAGAAGGGTGCTTGGCCTTGGATTGCTTTAATCGGTTACGATGATGAGTTATCGGCCTCACCGTTTAAGTGTGGCGGTACCTTGATAACAGCCCGACATGTGGTAACAGCTGCTCATTGTTTGAGAAGAGATTTGTAAGTGTGGAATTGAAATATAAAAAAATATTATGTATTTATTGTCTACTTTTCCTTAGATCCTTTGTACGTTTGGGTGAACATGATTTAACCACTGATACTGAAGCTCGTCATGTGGATATACGTGTTGTTAGAGTAAGTATTTGTTAGAGGGGAATAAATATTAGAGCTTATTAATTTTGCTTTATATTTTTATTTTAGAGTGAAAGACATCCTGATTATACTCCCAGAAATGGTCACAGTGATATTGCTATTTTATATTTGGAACGTAATGTTCAATTTACGGGTAAGTTGAAAAAGTGTATGAATAAATGATTTAAATTCAGACCTTTTAAAGAAGTGAACATAGATTATCTCAAACAGTTTTCAAAACTGTTTTAATATTCAAGTGCAATGTGGGATTTTTCGATACAATTTAGGTTTAAAAGAAAGATCTGATTTGTAGTATAAAATCGGATTTTTATTAGAAATTGTCAGATTTTTAGTATAAATTTGAATTTTTAGTAAAAATTTGGATTTACAGTAAAAAATTGGATTTTTACTATAAATTTGGATTTATAGTCAAAAATTGGATTTTTAGTATAAATTTGAATTTTTAGTAAAAATTTGGGTTTTCAGTAAAAATTTGGATTTTTAGTAAAAATTTGGATTTTTAGTAAAAATTTGGATTTTTTGTAAAAATTTGGATTTTTTGTAAAAATTTGGTTTTTACAGTAATATGTGGGATTTCAAGTAAAAAATTTAATTTTAAGTGAAAAGTGAAATTTTTACTGAAAAACCGAAATTTTAGTGGAAATAGGATTTGTAGTGAAATATAGAATTTTTAATGAAGAGTCGATCATATTTTTGTAGTTATAACTAGGACTTTACTAATTGAAAGTACTAACTGAAACCTCTCCAGAGACATCGACAAATGCGGTACATTCCTTAAAAAGTCTCAAAACTAGATTGAAGTACTGAACTAAGCCTGAGCTAGAATTGAACTAAACTAGAAGTGAACTAGTACTGAACATGAACTGAACAAGAACTGAACAAGAACTGAACTAGAACTGAACTAGAACTGAATTAGAACTGAACTAGAACTGAACTAAAACTGAACTAGAACTGAACTAGAACTGAACTAGAACTAGAACTGAACTAGAACTGAACTAGAACTGAACTAGAACTGAACTAGAACTGAACTAGAACTGAACTAGAACTGAACTAGAACTGAACTAGAACTGAACTAGAACTGAACTAGAACTGAACTAGAACTGAACTAGAACTGAACTTGAACTGAACTAGAACTGAACTTGAACTGAACTAGAACTGAACTAGAACTGAACTAGAACTGAACTAGAACTGAACTAGAACTGAACTAGAACTGAACTAGAACTGAACTAGAACTGAACTAGAACTGAACTAGAACTGAACTAGAACTGAACTAGAACTGAACTAGAACTGAACTAGAACTGAACTAGAACTGAACTAGAACTGAACTAGAACTGAACTAGAACTGAACTAGAACTGAACTAGAACTGAACTAGAACTGAACTAGAACTGACTAGAACTGAACTAGAACTGAACTAGAACTGAACTAGAACTGAACTAGAACTGAACTAGAACTGAACTAGAACTGAACTAGAACTGAACTAGAACTGAACTAGAACTGAACTAGAACTGAACTAGAACTGAACTAGAACTGAACTAGAACTGAACTAGAACTGAACTAGAACTGAACTAGAACTGAACTAGAACTGAACTAGAACTGAACTAGAACTGAACTAGAACTGAACTAGAACTGAACTAGAACTGAACTAGAACTGAACTAGAACTGAACTAGAACTGAACTAGAACTGAACTAGAACTGAACTAGAACTGAACTAGAACTGACTAGAACTGAACTAGAACTGAACTAGAACTGAACTAGAACTGAACTAGAACTGAACTAGAACTGAACTAGAACTGAACTAGAACTGAACTAGAACTGAACTAGAACTGAAACTAGAACTGAACTAGAACTGAACTAGAACTGAACTAGAACTGAACTAGAACTGAACTAGAACTGAACTAGAACTGAACTAGAACTGAACTAGAACTGAACTAGAACTGAACTAGAACTGAACTAGAACTGAACTAGAACTGACTAGAACTGAACTAGAACTGAACTAGAACTGAACTAGAACTGAACTAGAACTGAACTAGAACTGAACTAGAACTGAACTAGAACTGAACTAGAACTGAACTAGAACTGAACTAGAACTGAACTAGAACTGAACTAGAACTGAACTAGAACTGAACTAGAACTGAACTAGAACTGAACTAGAACTGAACTAGAACTGAACTAGAACTGAACTAGAACTGAACTAGAACTGAACTAGAACTGAACTAGAACTGAACTAGAACTGAACTAGAACTGAACTAGAACTGAACTAGAACTGAACTAGAACTGAACTAGAACTGAACTAGAACTGAACTAGAACTGAACTAGAACTGAACTAGAACTGAACTAGAACTGAACTAGAACTGAACTAGAACTGAACTAGAACTGAACTAGAACTGAACTAGAACTGAACTAGAACTGAACTAGAACTGAACTAGAACTGAACTAGAACTGAACTAGAACTGAACTAGAACTGAACTAGAACTGAACTAGAACTGAACTAGAACTGAACTAGAACTGAACTAGAACTGAACTAGAACTGAACTAGAACTGAACTAGAACTGAACTAGAACTGAACTAGAACTGAACTAGAACTGAACTAGAACTGAACTAGAACTGAACTAGAACTGAACTAGAACTGAACTAGAACTGAACTAGAACTGAACTAGAACTGAACTAGAACTGAACTAGAACTGAACTAACTAGAACTAGAACTAGAAACTAGAACCGAGACTGAACTAGAACTGAACTAGAACTGAACTAGAACTGAACTAGAACTGAACTAGAACTGAACTAGAACTGAACTAGAACTGAACTAGAACTGAACTAGAACTGAACTAGACTGAACTAGAACTGAACTAGAACTGAACTAGAACTGAACTAGAACTGAACTAGAACTGAACTAGAACTGAAACTAGAAACTGAACTAGAAACTGAACTAGAAACTGAAACTAGAACTGACATAGAACTGAACTAGAAACTGAAACTAGAACTTGCACGAGAAACTGAACTAGAACTGAACGACGAACTGAACTAAGAACTGAACTAGAACTGAACTAGAACTGAACGAGAACTGAAACTAGAAACTGAACAGAACCTGAACTAGAACTGAACTAGAACTGAACTAGAACTGAACTAGAAACTGACTAACTAGAACTGAACTAGAACTGAACTAGAACTGAACTAGAACTGAACTAGAACTGAACTAGAACTGAACTAGAACTGAACTAGAACTGAACTAGAACTGAACTAGAACTGAACTAGAACTGAACTAGAACTGAACTAGAACTGAACTAGAACTGAACTAGAACTGAACTAGAACTGAACTAGAACTGAACTAGAACTGAACTAGAACTGAACTAGAACTGAACTAGAACTGAACTAGAACTGAACTAGAACTGAACTAGAACTGAACTAGAACTGAACTAGAACTGAACTAGAACTGAACTAGAACTGAACTAGAACTGAACTAGAACTGAACTAGAACTGAACTAGAACTGAACTAGAACTGAACTAGAACTGAACTAGAACTGAACTAGAACTGAACTAGAACTGAACTAGAAACTGAAATTATCCGAAAAGATTTCGAAATTACCGATATTAATTCAATATTTATAAATAACGTTTGTCCCTCCAGAATTCATTTCTCCCATCTGTATGCCCATCACACCGGAATTGAGGCAAAAATCCTATGTACGCTACACTCCCTTCGTCATAGGTTGGGGTAAAACAATGGAGGGTGGTACCTCTTCCAATGTCCTACAAGAATTACAAATTCCCATTTATGACAATCAAGTGTGTAGAGATCGTTATAAACAGCAGAATCGTCTATTTACCGAAAATCAATTTGATAAAGCTGTTTTATGTGCGGGTGTACTATCCGGTGGCAAGGATACCTGTCAGGGAGATTCTGGTGGTCCTCTTATGATACCAGAGGTAAGTTTAAGATCTTTTATGTGATTATTTAATAAATAAACTCTTTCTTTTTGTTTGTTATTTTAGAACTATGGCAACAATGTGCGTTTCTATTTGATTGGTGTTGTATCCTATGGTATTGGTTGTGCCCGTCCCGAAATTCCCGGTGTCTATTCAAGTACACAACATTTCATTGATTGGATTGCACAAAAAGTAGCTGATACTCCTTAAATTATTACCTTTTTTGGCCGTTTTTTGCCTTTAAGTAATATTTATGTCTGTTTTTTTTTATATTTTTTTAATAATTTAAGCCTCAATTGTAGTCTAAGTAATAGAGTGAGAGATTATTTATACAGTTTAATGTTAAATTTTTTTTGATTTTGATTTTTATTATTTTCATATTTTTAAATAAAATTTGTTCTAAAGATTTAATTATTTTTATTGAATAGAAACAATGTGTTTTATTATGTTTGTTAGGTATATAAGGGAATAAAGGGTTGTTATGTGTAATTTGTTGCGGTTGATTAACATCTAAAACCTTTTACTTTCTTTTCAAGTTAAATCAAAATCCTTTCACCTTTATATCGGTCTACAGATGTTGAATGAAATTATGCAAATATATTTAAAAAAATTATTTTATTCGAAGATTTCTTTTTTATTATGTTAAAGATCTGTGTTTTATTACTTTGTTTGTTATGTTATGATCAAAAAGCAAGATCACCCGCGCTTTCTATTTATTATTGTGTAACATCTGTGATTACTTTAGAAAATTCCAACCCGGTTGGAAAATTCCATGCAAATGAATTTAAGTTTACCATTAACGTTCTCTACGGAAAATACGCTCAACAGGTCTGATAGTATTCTACTTAGGTGTATTTTTCTATATGGTCTGGGGCTAGTCTTCGGACCAGTTCATGATGTAGTCACTGTTGCCAATTTGACGTTTTCCCATCAAATCTAACGTTTTGAAATGGCAATTACGGGAAAAATCCGTTTTAGCAGTTAGCGGGAAATTTGGCGATTTTTACCAACATTTAGAGATTTTTGAAGTTTTTTCACGTATAAAATGGAGTAACTACAAATGTCTATTCTATGGTCAAATCTTAATTCTAGTGTGTAGTATAGGCGGATATTCTAGTCTATACTACACTATAGACTAGTCTATAGTTTAGTCTAAAGCCTAGTCTATAGTCTAGTCTATAGTAGTCTATAGTCTAGTCTATAGTCTAGTCTATAGTCTAGTCTATAGTCTAGTCTATAGTCTAGTCTATAGTCTAGTCTATAGTCTAGTCTATAGTCTAGTCTATTAGTCTAGTCTATAGTCTAGTCTATAGTCTAGTCTATAGCAGTCTAGTCTAGTCTATAGTCTAGTCTATAGTCTAGTCTATAGTCTAGTCTATAGTATAGTCTATAGTATAGTCTATAGTATAGTCTATTGTCTAGTCTATAGTCTAGTCTATAGTCTAGTCTATAGTCTAGTCTATAGTCTAGTCTATAGTCTAGTCTATAGTCTAGTCTATAGTCTAGTCTATAGTCTAGTCTATAGTCAGTCTATAGTCTAGTCTATAGTCTAGTCTATAGTCTAGTCTATAGTCTAGTCTATAGTCTAGTCTATAGTATAGTCTATAGTATACTCTATTGTCTAGTCTATAGTCTAGTCTATAGTCTAGTCTATAGTCTAGTCTATAGTCTAGTCTATAGTCTAGTCTATAGTCTAGTCTATAGTCTAGTCTATAGTCTAGTCTATAGTCTAGTCTATAGTCTAGTCTATAGTCTAGTCTATAGTCTAGTCTAGTCTATAGTCTAGTCTATAGTCTAGTCTATAGTCTAGTCTATAGTCTAGTCTATAGTCTAGTCTATAGTCTAGTCTATAGTCTAGTCTATAGTCTAGTCTATAGTCTAGTCTAGTCTAGTCTATAGTCTAGTCTATAGTCTAGTCTATAGTCTAGTCTATAGTCTAGTCTATTGTCTAGTCTTATAGTCTAGTCTATAGTCTAGTCTATAGTCTAGTCGATAGTCTAAGTCTATAGTCTAGTCTATAGTCTAGTCTATAGTCTAGTCTATAGTCTAGTCTATAGTCTAGTCTATAGTCTAGTCTATAGTCTAGTCTCTAGTCTAGTCTATAGTCTAGTCTATAGTCTAGTTCTAGTATAGTCTATAGTCTAGTAAGTCTAGTCTATAGTCTAGTCTATAGTCTAGTCTATAGTCTAGTCTATAGTCTAGTCTATAGTCTAGTCTATAGTGTAGTCTATGTCTATAGTCTAGTCTATAGTCTAGTCTATAGTCTAGTCTATAGTCTAGTCTATAGTCTAGTCTATAGTCTAGTCTATAGTCTAGTCTATAGTCTAGTCTATAGTCTA